GTGGAGCCCCTTCCTGTCAATCTTTTCTGCTTCCACGTTTTCCCTACAACAACATTATCTCACACATAAAAAGTAATATTAGGATAGTATTATGGAGGCAAGAGAATAACAAGCCTTCTAACATGAATATAGCGGCTGCATTGTTACCACTTCTTTTTGTATCTGTGTTGCTTACTTATCCTTAGGTTAAGGACTTTGCATTTACTTCTGTGCATCTTAAAGACTTATATGGACCCCAGTACTGTAGTATCTGGGCACCTCACAGCGTCTAATGTATTTATCCTCCCAACACCCCATTACACAGGGACGTGCTTTTATTCCTATTGCACAGATGGGAAACTAAGGCCATGTCTACACTTACAAGCTTACAGTGGCAAAGGTGTAACGATACAGCTGTAAGATGCCACTGTAAGATCGTAGTGTAGCCACATTATGCCGACGGGCGAGAGCTCTCCCATCGACATAATAAATCTAACTCAACGAGCAGCGGTAGCTATGTCGGCAGAAAGCGTCTCCCACCGACAAAGCACTGTGCACATGAACACTTATGCTGGCAAAATTTATGTTGCTCAGGGGGATGTTTTTTCACACCCCTGTGCAACAAAAGTTTTGCTGATATAAACGCTAGTGTAGACATGGCCTAAGACACAGAGAGACTAAGTGACTTGCTGAAGGTTACACAGAATGGGAATTAAAACCAGGTCTCCAGAGTCCCTCTATCTCCACACTTGATGGTTGCAGACCTTCACTTCTCTAAATCAATGTGCACTTTGGTTTGATCCTCTTATGTGTTCAGTGTAGTTCCAAAATAGGATCATGGTTGAATTTATACCAAACATCCACCCAAACACATGAAAAGAGCCTGCAGGGATGTGTTTGTTTTGGTGAGCATTTTTTTTAAAGTGCAGCAAATAAGTTTCTGGAAACTCCAAGGGAACTCTGAACTCTGCTACAACTATTGTAGCAGAAAGCTTCATAGCTTGAAGACTGACAGGAGGATTCACCACTGTAACAAAAACAACTCCATAAACTACCCAGAAGCATGGACAATCAGTGACCGACAGACCAAAGACTGAGAGCAACGTTATGTGGCAGAACAAAGTGTCATGGGAAAGAATGGAGGCACTTCAGGGTAAAGTCAATGCTCTTTATCAAATTATATTTATTCTCCCTGATTCTGGGCTCAAAGGGAGTTGAGGGAGGGGCCGGAGCGCCCCTTTTTCTGTGTATTCCCTGGATTTTCTTTCAAGAAGAAAAACATCCTTACCGCAAAGACTGATTCCAGACATGGCTGGAGAGCAAACTTCTGCTGAACACATGGGTTAGGAGAAACCAGCTACTTAATTTCCTTTTTACAGGACATGCTGGCAATGGAAGGAGCTTGGGGCCTTATACTGGATAAGCTCTTCTCCCTCTTGGTTTGTGCAAAAGAAATCACTGCCAAGACAGGAAGTGCTGTTCTAAGGAGCTGGGATGTTATAATCAGTTTGAGTCTGAGCACTAAGAGATTTCTTGTTTGAAAAAGATATTTTATTTTTTTAAGAAAAAGTCTGGTGACCCTGTAGGGCATGGGCCACTAGTCACGTTTAAGAGATTGGATTTTGTATAGTGTGTGCATCTGCTGCTGTAATTAGCATCATTATGTTTAGAAACTACTGCACACCTATTTTCTTCTATTCTACTGTAACTATGGTGGGCAGAGTACCCTGCCTCACCACTGGCAAAATGGTACCATTTTGAGGCCTCGTACCACTCAACTAATTACAGGAGAGTTTGGATTGGGTAAGCTACTATATAAGGGGCATCCACTGGTCAGTTGTTAGAAAAACATTCTTGACAGCTTTGCAGATAGGCACTTTCACTCTCCTGGAAGCAGAGAGCACCACAAGTGCACTCAGCTAAGAAGGAGCAGACAATGGGGGCTATGGAAGAAAAGGAAAAGAATTCAAACAGTGTTTATTTTTTAATGGGCACAAAGTTGCCTACTTTCATTTCTGCATTAAATTAAATTATAAATTAATGGAGATATACTATCTCCTAGAACTGGAAGGGACCTTGAAAGGTCATCGACTCCAGCCCCCTGCCTTCACTAGCAGGACCAAGTACTGATTTTGCCCCAGATCCCTAAGTGGCCCCCTCAAGGATTGAACTCACAACCCTGGGTTTAGCAGGCCAATGCTCAAACCACTGAGCTATCCCTCCCCCCATTAGTAGGGGTATGTCTAGACATACCCTACTAAGAGACATTAGTATGTCTCCTTCCTTTATCATGGTTTTAACTCTGAAAGCTACAAGACCAGCTGTACCATATGCAGATTTAATCTCAATGTTGGCAAACATTCTTATCAGATAACAACCTAATCACATTCAATATAAAGATAAGAAAAATTACTCAGCTAAGACAATGCACTGTAGATAAAGCGACCATTCAGAAAATGGAGCTGAATAATGTCACTGGGTCATCAGGGCTCCAAAAATGATGGACCACTTAAAAAAAATAAAAGAGTGAATTCTACCTTGTTCCCTCTTGTTCTGATCCATTTGGTAGTGCCATAGGATGGGGACTGGCCCTTTAAGGGGAGTTGGCTTCAGCCCCACTTATGCCTAGTTATCTGCCTCCCAGTTGATGGGCCTGGGCTGGTGTCTGGCTCAGGTGACCATGCATCAGATATTAATAGCCTAGGGGTAGGGCTTCCGATAAGAGGGAACCAGCTTCATCATGGAGGAAGACCAGATGCAAGGAAAGACCTGAGGGAAATCTTTCTAAAGATGCCCAGATTCTGGAGTGGGCCTGGTGGAGCTTCCCAGCTCAGAGAGAGCTAGAACCTGATGCACAGAAACAAGAATAAGGAGAAGATACATCAGCAGGGAGGTACCTGCAAGGGAGCCAGAAGAGACCCATGGGCAGGGAGTACCAGGGAACCAGCACTCCCTACCAACCAGACGGAAAGGCCTGACTGCAGTGACCTGCGGAGAATGGCAGGAGCAAAACCTTAAGAGAGAGTTTAGAGCCCATGAAGTGTATAATGGACTAGTGAGTCTCCAGGAGAAGGCCAGGAATTTCTAGTTTTGAATTTGAATACTTTTGTGTAAATAATCCAGTTCCTGCAAGGGGATAGCAATTAGAGCACCAGCTGTAGTGGTTAGTTTGGCTATAGATGGAGGCAAACTGAGGCAGAGGCAGTGTCCAACACTGGATGAGGAAAGACCCTGCTATAGGCAACTTCCCTCCTTTTATCCTCCTTTTGATGCTTCTGGCCAAAACTATCCCTATCTCCTTGATGAACTACTTCTGCGTTAGGCCTCACCTATACTGTACCTGAACTGGTCTGGAACAGTTTTAAACCAATTGAGGCTCATTCGGTTTAAACAGAGTTTTGGATGACAAGCCAAAGAATACCCAGTCCCCTTACTGGTTCTGGGGGAAGTCAAAGTGTTATTGATGCATTCCAGCATGGTTTTGATTCTGGCTTCCTTCCTGTACCCCAGTGTGCCACCCCAGCCACTGAGGCCAACTTGTGGGCTTGTGTCAATTCTACCTAAACTTGAATGCCTTTGAGCTTGGCAGGGCATTAGCACTGGAGGTGCCTTGACTGAAAGTCACTTCTATCTGTTTGCCTAGAGCACAAGCCCGTTGAGCAGTGCTAGTCTAGTACTGTGCCAAATTACATTATTCAGTGAACATCCCTTTTTTTCACTGAATCATTTGCTAACACTTTTGTGGGATTTGACAAGATCCATAGCAGGTTGACTGGCAACAGAATACTCAAATCCACAAGTTACTCAATAAATACTGGTAACAGTATCTATCTTTGGCATTCTACCATGTGTGTTTAGGACACAGGATAAAGCCCATCTTTTAGGTATTCTGCCTCAAGGGCTTAGTACAGCCTGACCCCAGATGCACAGTACCTTCCCTCTTAACTTGTGTATATTTAATTTTAAACATTAACTTTAATAAAAATTTTAACGCTGATAAGTCTTTCTATATTTGCATTGATCAAAACGTTACACAGGTTATTTACTAATGCTATTCGGCATCCAGAAAATGCAGTGATGGCAGCATTTGTAAAGTGCATAAACTCTGTTTAAGCCAACTCCGTAATGGTTACGCTAGTGGTCTCTAATTCAAATTAATCTGAATTGTCTTAAAACCATATTTCATATTAACTCAGGTAATGCCTTTCCAAAGCTTTAGACTCCTCTTCCTACTAGGACTTCTTCCCAACACTTTGTCTTTGGTTCATTTTCTTTATGCAGCAAATGACTTTGTATTGCTCCGTCTTTCCTATTACAAGCTTCAGTGTTTTAAAACAGAACTTAAATAGAACTAGTGGTATGAGCTGGCTAAAATACAGCAATATTCAAACAACTGGAGACCGTGAACAGTTTCGATTTTCAAAAAAGAAAATATTAGTTATTGAGATTCTGTTTTCCCCCTTTTGTTTCTCTGGTAAGTAATATTTTAGTCCATGTACCTTGTTGATAAAATAGTACATACAGGTCAAAAATATGAACATTTTCTTGATTGGTTGAGGTCTTTCATTATGTAATTTGCAAAAAGGAAAACAGAATCTGAATGCTGCTGAGAAAATGGAAGAGGGCGCTGGTGTAGAAAAGCTTTTTCCCCCAAGATCTTTATAAAAGCACCACAGAAAAGTGACCTTGAGCTGTGGTGTGTTTTTGGACACCAAGATAAGGCAGGCAATAAGCCTACATAACCACATACAACACAGTTACAGAAAGAATACACTCATTCAATGGCTTTGGAGAAGTAAACAAATAAGTAACCTTCAGGGTACTCATCTATAAAGGAACTTATTAGAGTTGTGTAAACTGTTCCCTCTTCAAGTCTGCAGGATCAATTTCTCATTTACGAAAGATTAGGTTCTTCACACTAGTTGATGACTGTGCACAGAAACAAAGCATCACCAGCCACCACTTACTCTATTTTTTTTACATTCAGATTCTCCCCAAACAGCTCATTCAGCCTTACTTACAACGAGGTGAGAGATTTCAAGCCATGGAATGCGTCAGGAGCAATGTCAGATATTTGATTCTTGCTGATGTCTCTGTAAAGATACGGGGGGGGGGGAATGAAAGGTTACTTGTAAATAGGAATTTGTTGAAAAAAGGTAGGTTTTTTTTCAGTGTTATAAGCACTTTATTACTTATTTCATTATTATTGTTATTTATTTGTATTACCCTAGCATACTCACCATGATCACATTGTGATAGGCATTGTACAAACACAGAACAAGAAGATGGTTCCTGATCCAAAGAGCTTACAACTGCAGTTTAAGATAAGGGACAACAGACGGACACAGACAGATGGGGGAATTCAAGAAAACAATGCGACAATATTGGTCAGCATGATAGGCCATGTTATCAGCGCAACAGTACTCTAAGTGTTGTCAAGCTTTTAGCAGGCATCATGGCAAAGGAGAGTTTTAAGGAGGAATTTAACAATTAGGTGGCTTTGAGGATGTTTACGGAGAGCACCTCCCAAGCAGGAGGGGCAGCATGGAAAAAAGCACAAAGATGCTTGTTTGAAAATTTAACAAGTGGGGAACTGAGGCTGGTATCATTAGCTAACCAGAGGCAGGTGTCGATATTTCCAGACTGAGATGATAGGTAGGATGGCAATAGGCCATGAAAGGCTATGAAAGTGGAGACAAGTAGTTTATGTCTGATGCAGTAGAGAAGGGGGCACAGTGGAGGGATACAAAGAGAGGGATGACATAGTCAAAGCAATGGGCTAGGAAAATGAGCTCTACGGTAGCATGCTGAATGGATAGGAGCAGGACAAGACTGTATTTGTCAAGGCTAGAGAAAAAGATGTTGTGGTAATCAAGATGCAAGATAGTGACAGCCTGGGCAAGAATTTTAGCTTCATAAACAAAACAAAATGTGTTAGCCCTGTTTAGGGTTAATCATGGGTTAGAGTATATAACCATCCTAAGAAATGTGAGTACTGTGTTAATAGATAAGTCTTTCCTGTGCCAGATCTTTGTTTGGCAGCGGAGTATGCTTGTATGGGGGAATAGATCAGCCATTTCTCTGATTTTAAAGACCAGCATTAGTGCCACTCAGAACTGGTGGGCAGTAATATATTGTGCACTGATGTAAGGTTCTTAATGAACATTCTTGCCCGTTGCGGATGAGCAGAGCACATTCTACTGCACCCCTCATCCGAGGGGAACTCTGCTGGGCATTTAAACCTAGATTATGACCTTATTCTGCCACCAGTGTGGTGTAAAGGGGCCATAAATCACTACAGAATCTGGTCAAGGCATTAAGTTTCAGTAAGGTCCCCTTCCCACTCCCATTACAGCTGTGCTGGGGCATCTAGTCACAACATGCTTTCACTGTTTCAACAGGAGTTTTGAAAATGCTAAAGACCCAGTCCATCCTTTATTACAGGTAGGATAGGAACATGTTGTGCTGGGTGTCCCAACATGGCTATGACGTCAAATCATCTTCTCTAAGGTACTTAGTACATGCAGAACTTTAAACATATAAACTGTCCCATTGTCTTCCTTTGGAATGGTACCTGCTTATGTCAACACTGACTCTGTTCCATGATTGTTCAGGCTAGTACAATCAGACACACGTAGTATTTCACATACTACATTTCCATTGTCACTCCATTTCTGCTAGAAGACATGTTCAGAACAGTGGATGGGCTTATGCAATAAACCTCATTTGAGTAGCAGCATCCTAACATCTCTTTAGGAATCTACAAGGAATAAGATTTTCTCACAAAGCTCTTAACAAAGTGATTGATCTAATAATGTTTCCTTCTATAGCGTTTTGCTTCACTTTTGTCCACTGGAGTTTCATTTTTGTGGTTTTTCTTTAGCTACACTCACTACAGTCAAGTCTGTGGTGAGTATAGCTAAAGAAGAACCCCTTTCATGCCCTCTGAAATCTGTTTAGGAAATCAGTTAACATTGACTGCACTTTGTGTCTAGACAGTAAGATGCAAATAGCAGCCTTCATAGAAATAGCCAAATTTCTTGGCACAGTGTTTATAGTATGGCATCTATTCAGGAATATTTTTCAACCCATTACAATGGAGTAGAGCAATGTGATAGATCAGAACCCTAACATCTGAAAGGGGAACCTTAGTTTTGGAATCAAACATCTCAGTGCAGCCTGTTTCTGTATATGTCACATTTTGATTGAAACAAAAGATTTTGTCCCTCCACCCCCTCTCCAATTTAGGATGTTAATCTGGGTATAACTAATGGTGCCTGAACTTGCATAAATATCATGCTGGGAGATGACATTCACCCACCTCTTGCGGATGTGGTATGATCAGCATTAGAAGATAATTAGACACATTATTTCCTTTCCATTAGAGCCAAGGCTCCAGTGCTGTTGCTTAGATAGCGAGGCTGAATCTCCTCCTGCCTTTTTTGAGGCACAAGGATTCAATTAAGATTTTGCTTTTCTTTTTGTTTCCTTTCTATGGCCTGCTGCTTTGTGGTAAGTTCATTCCACTCTAGTGCTTGATTTACATCAGGAAAGAGCGGATACACGCTTTCCTAACCTTTCATTACTAAGTCAGTTTAGGTCACAGAGCACAAACTTCCATAGTTTTGGATATCACTAGAATCACTGAGTGGAACTGCAGCTCTTTAGCTGGGAATTTAATAGACTGATCAGGATTCCATCCAGGCAGAGAACTCATTAACCATCTCAAAGTCTCATCTCCTTATGCCCATGACAACACAGAAATGATTTCGTTTTTGAAAAGTCTGGTAAACACACTCTTGAGCAGTGGTGGGCAACCTGCAACCTGTGGGCCACACGTGGCCCGTCAGGGTAATCTGCTGGCAGGCTGCGAGACAGCTTCCATTGGCCGGGAACGGCAAACTGCAGCCACTGGGAGTTGCGGGCGGCCATGCCTGCGGATGGTTAATGTAAACACTGTCTCACGGCCTGCCAGCAGATTACCCTGACGGGCCACGTGGGTTGCCCACCACTGCTCTTGAGGGTGACTGCACGCAGATGCTGTGTAGGAGTGCAAATCGCTTCTATCTCTGCAGCAGGGAAGAAGGCGTATCTTGTGCTTCTTGTATAGCATATGAAGATGATTTAAGTTTCTTTACTGCCCTCTGTAAGAGCTTTTGAGACAAACTACTGAATAATGTTTAGAGCTGGTTGAAAAATGAAAAACAAACAAACCCACAATTCATAAAAGAATTTGAGGAACAGTCATATTGCAACATTAGTTGGATGGTTGTGAAACTTTGTGACCTGTTTATTGCTAAGATGAAAGGTGTTAACGTTAAATATCAGAAAGAAGTGCAGTTATATTGTTATAGCCACACCTTTCTGGGGGCTGGAGTCCTCAGTCTTGTGCCCAAAATGCACCTGAGAAGCACAAGTAAAATAGTAGGAGATGGCTTAGTGATGTTTCTATAAATTTTTAAATCCCTAGACTATGCAATCATATATTTGTCTACTAGAAGGGTGAAATCTTCCTTCTGAGCTAGATAAATTGAGTTGCAGTAGTTAACCATGTGTGGAGGCAGGAATAACTGTAGTGAGGTCCATGACAGATGAAAGGTTGCAACCAAGAGAAGATGGCATAAGTTCTCTTGGATACTGCTGCTACCTGAACATCCAGTGGCAGTTAAGCATCCACTCTAAATAGTGAGTTTTAACTAAAGCAAGCATAACTTCTCAACCCAGGGAACAGCTATAACTTCTTCCCTCTCCTCAGGATGTTGCCCTCATCCCACCTGTCTCATTTAGTTGGAGCCTCAGCTAACCAGCTCTAACTCAAGGTCTAAGCTCAGCCACACACTGGGAAACAAAAACTTCACCATCTTTTAGGAAACTGAGCTAAGTACCATCAAAATATTGAAATAACATCCTAACATCCTCACATGTAGACTGAACAGCAGAAGTAGTAGGATACAACCTTCTGGTACTCCACAGCATTGGCATAATATCACCCTCTGATTGCTTTCAGAGAAAAAATGGAGGAACTTTTGTTCTCCTTGGTATACTCCTGTTAGGGCCCCCAGACACGTTATTAATCCCTCTGATATCAAAGGCTCCTGCCATTTCTAAAGAATCAGCATGAACAAGTGCGCTTTTCCCCACACTAGAAGGTCATCAGCCAATGAAGCCAGCACAGTCTCCATGTCATACCATAATTAGGTCTAACAGCAGAGAGAAAGGAGCTAAGAAAATCTGAAGACTTCTGATGATGCCAGAGCTGTCTAATTATAATCTTCTCAACACTATCTCCCAAAATATTAAGATTAGAGACAACATGGTGAGCCTTTTAGTATTAAGAGCGAGTTTCTTGACCACAATTCATGCTTGCATTAGTAATACTAGCATCTTGCAGTCCCAAAGGGAGATGGCAATAACCACCAATAGTAATGGAACAAATAGATCTCCACTAGATTTCACAAACCCTGATGAGCACTGGTCCAGATTACAGATCCTCACCGTCCCACAACAATTCTGAACCTCACTAAGGAGACAGAGAAATGTCACATTTATCCTGCCACACACTGACAAGGACATCTCTTGATTTCCATAGACGCCATCTCTTCAGTGTCAATAAAGTGTCTGAAGCACTTGGGGATTTCCTTGCTAAAAGTGGATAAATAATGTAAAATTAACATCTGGCATAAAGGTTTACTGTTTCACTATCATGGCAGGAATAGTAATAAGGCTGTGTAGAATCAGAACTGCAATAAAGGCTGTCTTTCCCATATCTACATGTATATACATTTTTAAATTGCAAAAACCTATTTTTAATAAGAACATAAGAACATAAGAATGGCCATACTGGGTCAGACCAAAGGTCCATCCAGCCCAGTATCCTGTCTACAGACAGTGACCAATGCCAGGTGTCCCAGAGGGAGTGAACCTAACAGGCAATGATCAAGTGATCTCTCTCCTGCGATCCATCTCCACCGTCTGACAAACAGAGGCTAGGGACACCATTCCTTTCCCATCCTGGCTAATAGCCATTAATGGACTTAGCCTCCATGAATTTATCTAGTTCTCTTTTAAACCCTTTTATAGTCCTAGCCTTCAC